CCTGCTTGGTCTCAACTACTTCAACCAGTCATTTAATGAAATGAATTATGAAGAACTTAAGAGACTTGCAAATTGTTTAAGATAAACTGAAAAGTCATATTTATGCTTCACTGCACCCCTGCCACTGTACATCAATAGCGGAGTAACTCATAACTCATGTCAACAATTGAAGTGTGATTCAATGCCAAGCAGCAGCTGTATTAAAAAAATGGCACTTCCTTACTCAGACCTGCTTCCTTCATAAGTATCCAGAGTCTTACCTGATTACATAAGAAATAACAATTTTGGCTGTGCAGAGCCACTGCAGGAGGGCAGGGTGGCTTCCACCCCTCTGCTAGCCTCAGCAGCAGCGCTGCTTTGTCTTCATCAATCACATCATTACTGGGAATCCACCTCCCCCCTCTGAATCTCCCAACCCCAAAACAGAGCACCTCGCAAATTCTCCATGGCCTCAGAGTCCATTAAAGACATAATCATTCTGTACACAAAACAGCTCTAAATCTCTCATGGTTTATCATTAGCCTGCAAGATCATACTCTAGAAAACTTCAGCTCCGGGAACGTGCCAAAGACACGACCTCTCACTCCTTAAGCCAACCAAAAACGCTGGCTCCAGAAAGGGGCTGATGCTGATCTGCATCATTAAGACAAAGGAAGCAAAAAAAGCCCCAGTCAGGTGCTTTTCAACATCAGAAAACTAGCAGATCATGCAGATGCTGCTGATGACTTCATATGGCCCAGGAAAACTTTCTTAGAAGGATGAGGACTCTCAGAGCACAGCTGAAACAGGAGGATTAGGAATTCAGCAAGTTTTATTTATCTTGTTAGCTTAAAAAAAAAAACAAAAACAAAAAGCCATGAGCTGAGTCCCACAGTGTGTTTCAGAGTAGGACCATGCTCTCAAGAGCTGTTGTTTGCCTGACCCAAACACTTCAAAAATGGCACCTGCTTCAGCCTGCCCCAACTCACCCCTACTCCCGTCACCCATCAGAAAAATGAACCTAGAATTAAAGCAGAGCACTAATCAAAAGATAGAGACTCCACTAACCAACTTCTACTGGAGATTCACCCATCAATGAATATGAAACCAAGAGCTGGTCTTCGCAAAAAAGAAAAAAAAAAAACCTAAAAAAAACCACTCAGACACTTCAACTATTATTAAAAGCACAAGCACATGCAAAAACACAACTACATCAAGGATGATACATGAACACTGCCCAAACTCTTCATAGCAACAGAGCACAACTGTTGAAGAAAAACAAACAGCATCCCCTACAGTGGAATTTTTAGAGGTAATAGGGGTAGGCAAAGAATTATTCAAATCATAACACTATCAGGTCTCAACAGACAAGCCTAGGTTGCAACATGTAGCCTAAAGCATTCTAAGACAACGCATATAGCCATAGATATTAGCTCCAGAACGTTTTCCAAGGTGCCACATTTAACAGTGCAGTAGCTGTTTCTCACCATAACGTCACAATATTGTAATAACTACTGGTAAATACAAAAGATGGTATTTATTAAATCTCCTACATCACTTCCCACAGTGTTACTGCCACCCCAATGACCCCAGATTCAAACTTCCTTAGCTTGTTTGTGAAGAGAAGTTCCAAGGCCACGTGACCACAGGTCGGAGAGAAATACTTTGGAGAGTTACCCCATCTCACCCACAAAGTCTTCGTGGTCCCTGTCACTTACAGTCCACAGGAAGACAGCCCGACCAGTGCCTGGGAAGGTCTAAGCTTCTCTTTTCCATATGCATTCAGTGGAGACTGTGCAACTGGACACTATCTAATCTTCTGCACTTTAAACCTCAGGAAACAAGGGCATGAAAGAGTTAATATTCATACTTTTCCAACTGCCAGCCAATGCACTACCTTCAACTGCCTTCACAGAAAACTCACTGCTACCACCTTCCATGCTTTTGGTCAGAGTCATTTCTCCAGACTTCAGCTCCTGCAATCAAGCAATTAGCTGAAAAACACATCTGTCATTTGAAGAGATAACTAAGTCTAAGTCTCACGACTTCTGAGCTCCACCAGATTTGTTAATATTCATACTTTTAAAAAGGCTGCAATTGCCAGTGCTGGCATATTTATGTCCTACTACTTCATAAGTTGTCAAAAAATCCCCTAGCTTTTAGTCAGTTATTATATTCAAATCCTAACTTTATAACTTCCTTAGACAGCTCAAGTATTATTGTGGACACAATTTATACCCTTTCATTTCATCATTGTCAAAAGACAGTGAACTGGAACTGGTCTAGAATGATTCAGTATGAACAATATTGTCCTTCAATAAATTTGTTTCTAAATCTAATGATGAACCCTGTATTTTTTCTTGTCTTTATGGAGCTGCATATATCAAAACATATAGCCTAATGAGTCATCTTCACAGCCAACCAAACAATTCAGTGATCTTGGACATATTTTGTTTTGATTATGTGCAAACTATTATGCATATCTATTTCTAAACGTATGGAAAATTCTGATGCCTTAGAAGAATAAATACATGCGCTAGTGACATGACTAAGCACGTGGGTAACTGATTACTTTATAACTTAAATATTTATGATCACGCGCCTATACTCTGACTAGACAAACTCCCAAATGATTCCAGCATTGCCTAATTAGCTCCATCAGTCCTCACACTGTACAGGTTGAGGGACATCTTATACAGCAGTGAAAAGAGAAGTGAATACCATAGCCTAACTTCTGTGGTTACTTCAGAAGCAGTAGTGCCATTTGCAGCTGCCTTCCTTCAAAGCAAACAGGAATCTTGTTCGGGTTGCAAAGGCAGCACCAGAGAGACTACCTCTGAGTACGTTCATTTGGTGCTCAACATCTTCTGCAGAGGTATTTGCAAACACACTGGAGCTTTGGACGGTGTGAAAACTGTTCAAAACAGAGACTGGGTTGACCACATGCAGTTTGGAGGCGACACTTTGTATCTGCCCACGTCAGCCGTCCTCATTTGTGTTCTTCAGCTGCAGGGCTCACCGCCAAACCCCCGCAAAGAGCAGCTCCATCCCCTAAGCAGGCCTCAGCAGAAGACCCTTCCTTCACTTATGGTACGTGTTTATATGAACAAAGCCTTTGTTATGAGCGTGCTTCCACAGAGCCAAGTAAGTTTGGCAGAGCCAGGGTTTCACACAGCCCGTTCATCTCTCTACCGCGTGAGCTGCTCGTGCCCAGCTGCCCCAGGAGCTCCCCAGATGCCCCCAGCCCCGCGGGGCCCTGTCTCTCAGTGCCTCGCTCGGGTGCTGCAGCGGCTGCAAGCGCAGAGGAATGCTCAGAGGTTCAAAGCACCCACTGTCCCGAGCTGTCAGACCCTGCTCTCCTCTGTGCACAGTGGAGAGCAGTTACAAGTTAAGCACATATGGAGAGTAACCTAGCTGAGCCCTTGGGCATAATCTTTAATTTTGTCAACATTTCTTACATATTCTGGCATCCAACATTCAAGTAAAACCACACGATCGCTTAAAACATTCTCTTTTGCAGCAGAGAAGCTAAACTATATATTTCCTTCCTGTTTCTGGCATGATTAAGAGGCAGCTGATTCACCCTCAACATTCTTAAAAGATGTCGAGATTGAAAATTTCTCTCTCCCTATATGAAATAAATCCAGACATTTAAAAAAAAAAAAAAAAGGAACAAAACATCGTTGTTTCAGAGGCAGTTTGGGGAGTTTTAGGAACTTTTACCGGCAGAAATCTCTGTGATTCCACTGACAACAGCACCCCTAGATGCTTACTGGCATCTGATCCACCCATATGAACCCCCAGGTCTTTATTTTTAGCTTGGTAAACCTGACCTCAGTATCTGAATGTCAGTCTCAAAAACAACACAGGCATAATCACAGCAGCAGACAAAGAGTTACATGAGAAAGATCCTGTTTCTGATATAAAAATAAATAAAAAAATGTAATACGGGAAAGCTGAAAACAACATCAATCCTCTGGACTGCTTCTGCGGAGAATTTTCCAGTTTTCGAAAAAGTATCAGTAGTTTCAAACAGGAACTTAAATGTGATCACAGCAGATCTGCCACAAGAAGACGGACACCGAAAGGTAACAAATGTTCCAAAAGGATCCATGCATTGGAATCGGAGAAAGACAGACAGTCCTCCTCCTGCGTTTCTATGCATTAGGGGATCAACGCAGGAACAGCCGGCACGGATATGAAGAGACGCATTATGTAGGCGCTTGTCTGCGGTGAGATTTGAGGGAGATTCAAGAGCAGACAGCTCCCTCCACTGCTGTGCTTCCAACGGGCCAGCGCTGCGGCCTTTTCCTTCCCGTCCTCTTTCTCCGAACGGGAATAATGCATGCTCAGTTCCCTATTTTATCATGTCTATTTTCCCTTCTTAGATCATTCTTAAGAGAGGCTTTGCAATGACAGAACACTTTCCTAGACTAGTTCTTACAACTTCAGGTGCGCGTCGCGCTATGCACCTAACACGTCACGGCAGACACAGTGCTTGGCTGGCTCTGACTTTGTGACTGGTAGGTCTGCTTTGATATCACAGGCACAAATGTTGTAATGGAAACCAAAAACTTCTGAGCCTGCCTGCGGAACATGGTGAATCCACACCTTTGTCAGGGTGCTGCTATTTTAATCTATATTGGGTACGCCACCCAATCCAGCCCTAATTTAGCTATCGTTGATGTTAATTTGTGCCAGCTATCTATCAAATAATTTTGAAGAAGTGAAAACAACCACAAAGGGAGAAAAAAAAAAAAAAAAGAACAGGGCAGAGGGAAGTCAGCACAAGAGCCAACACACTAATCTGACCTGCTGCAGCTAAGAGGCACGAACGCTCAGCAGAAGGAAGGGGCACAGACTTTCTGAGCTGACACCATTTTGCATCAAACAGAAGGGACAGTGAGATAACGCACACTATTATTGGGATAGTATCTTCTGCTTCTTAAATGGTGCTCGTTTTTGCTTCAGGAGAAAAGCTTTATCAAGAACAGCATCATAAATTAAAGAGGCATCCAAACCTTATAGACTTGTCCATACGTCCCATTTCCAACAACCTGCACCAGTTCAAATATTCCTGCAGGGTCCTGCAAAAAGCAGAAGAAATAACATGATTTGCAGCAAAGCAACCGCTTCATAAGGGAGCAGAACTGTTCACAATCAGATTGAAAATGTCTGCCGCACACCTCCTAATGAATCTGTATCACAGACTAGCGGGGAAACAGCAACAACCATATAACAGTGTACCATAAGCAACACTTTGTTTCTGAAGTTTTCAGCCAAGTTGCTCAAAACTCTACAGAAAACAACTCGATGAAGATTTGTAACATGTCAATACTATAAATACGACAAATAAACGGACACGTGAGAAGAACATGGGAATTCAAGTGATATACCCAAGGTTCGCAATGCAACTTAGTGGCAGAACAAGGAACAAAATCCAGGCTTCCTATGCCTGAAAACACTGAGCTAGTCTAGAGGCTGAGCTGCTGCCCTCTGCTATGAAATGCTTAGTATTAGTAATGAAACAAAAGAAAGACCCTAAAAAATAAAATTGAAAAATACCATATAAAGCATCTGAGCCTGATTACTTCACAAGAGAGAAATATATCATCCCAGAGGAATCATAATACCAAATACAGGCTGAGAATGGTCAATTGCCCTGTCGTGCAAACATAACAAGGTGAATTTGACTGATGTACACAAGTATTGGCTTTGAACCCAAACTGGATTGCTGCTAATTTACACGAAAGATTCATGTATCAGGTGACCAGTGTAGCACATGAATCACACAAGCCCGGCTGGTTTGGCATCAGTTACACAAAAACCAGCCACTGCGACAGATGTCCTTCTCCAACAACCATCCCTTGCAACTTCTCACATATAGGAAGACCATTCTGCAGCAACGCACGGGCAAGTAAATGTTCACTCCCGCATAAGTGAGTGCATTTAAAAAAAAAAAGTTAAAACTCACTTGGGAGATTTATTTAAAAACATTAAGAACTCAAGAGACCAGTTTCTTGGTATCTGGTAGAGCCATTCATCAGTCCAGCTCATTTCTTGGGATGATAATAATTGAAAGATTTAAATAAAATATTATTAATTCCATGTGTCAGTTTTACCACATCTGTTCCAGCAATCTGTCACATCAGTTGATGTCTATTGGTACTGCTGAGGGATGCGACATAGAAAAAAGTTCTATATCTCAGAAGCACAGTTTCTACAACCGTGGTTGGAAAATATCTTTTTTTAAGATACAAAACTATTTTTCCATGCAAATACTATTCTAATTATATGTTATTCTTTTAATTAAAATATTGCATTCCTCATATGTGATCTGGAAATTTTACTTCGACAAAATAACCATGGAAATACATGGGCTTTTCTCTGAGTAGATTCTGCCTTTATCAGCACGACTGTCACAACAAAGGGGCAACCGTTTTCACTGTCAGAGCCACGCAACACAGACTTCCACGCTGCCTTACTGACCAGTTATTCAAAGCAGCTCAAGCAGTATCAAAATGCAAATCCTCCTCATATCCTCAAAGATATACTTTGGTCTCACACTGAAGGTACTCATCAATTCATTTCTTCTTCTTGGCGTTAAATGGCTTTTAATCTTACGCTTCCTCGATCGTCAACCTCACAAGATTTTTTTTTTTAATTATTATTTTTAAATCTAATTAACAATGCATAACTAGGCCAAATTGCTAACTTTCTGACCTGTGCCCTGGCTAATCTGTGTCATCTCTCTTCTGTCTCTTAAGACAAGATGATAGGGCATGGCCTTCTAGGCTTCGGCCCCAATTCCTCTTACACAAGAGGAAATCCGTGAGATTACTGATGCACAGAGCTAGGCACAGGTGTAAGACAGCTGTAAGCTTCCACACTGGGATCTTTGTAAGCCACTTTGCTTCTTTCCTATTTCTTCATTTTTCATTTCCACCAGTCTTGGATATACCTGAGCCATGCTCTTTGCTTCAGCCCAGCTGGCATCTGCAATAACCCACTGCCACTGCTGGCGCTAAAGCAAGAAGTTAGGCAGTTGCCACAAACTTCTGACTGGCGCGTGACCGACTCACTGAGCCGTGCCCTGGTTTGCAGGCTGCTCCCTGCAGCAGGCTGCGCCCCTCCACGGAGCTCCTCTCCGCAAGAGTCTCCGTGCGGAGAACGTCCCGTGTTCCTCTCCTGGGGAGAGGCAAGCAGCTGCCCCGCTGCCACCCCTGCTGCTGCGGAGAGGAGCCCTGAGGAGTTCAGCGGGGTGCACAGCGCACGGAAATCTGAAAGAAACTAAACTGCATTTTAAAATTCCGAGTATGCCACTGTCCCTTACACTCAAACATGCGCTTGGTCCTCACTCGTTTTCTCCAACCTCATCTATTTATGCAATAATTTCACGTGCCTCAAAACCAGCTTCCCTCTCTCCCTCCGATCCATTTCATTCTGCTTTAGCATCCTAATAGCTCATTTCTAAAGGTGTCAAACACTTCCAGAAAAACCCAAACAATTAGCTAAATAAATGTTAGCATTAACTTTAAGACAGCAAAAATCCTACCCTTGTCTTGTAGCCAATCAGGCATTAACGTCTCAAGAACCCAGAGCACTGACTGCAGCCAATATGCTTGGCCACCTCCCTCCCTTCAGTCAGGACACAATAGTGAACAGAGCCTTGCTGGAGTCATAAAAGATATTACTTTGGGCTCTGACTTTGGTCCTTGCACTGCCCTTGTTTGCTTGGATATCAGCACTGCATCCTGCACTGCCAAAGTCTTCATAACCGGCCAACTTCTCAATTATCTTGGAGCTAGGTATCATCTTTGATGTAGTGCTTCCTCTCAGCTAACGCTGAAGCCCCGTGGTCCAGCTAACCCTTCAGCAGCCAAAATCCTGACCAAAATCCTGACATTCATCATTTTAAGGTTAATTACTGTAATGGACTATACCATGCGCTGGTCTTCTTGCTTTCCTGCAAGTCATCTGCAGCATACCCAAAAGGCAGCAGCAAGACTGCTGACCTGGAGGCACCCAGGCCACCTACATCACCCCTGCCCAGCAGCATGGAAAACAGCCCACGCAACAGGAGCTGCAACAGGCCCTTCAAAACAGCAGCAGTGAAAGCAAAGGCAGCTGTGAGAAGCACCAGCCCCACAGCCCAGCCTCTGCCCCTTGGCACCTAACACAGCCACCAGAGCCATTTAACCACCCAGTTGCCTTGACGAGCCCAGGCTCAGCGGGTCTGTAATTATCACCGCTTTCCCCATCAGATCACCCAGGCCTGCCCGGGGAGCAAATCGATGGGCAGCTCGGGTGCAGTGAGATGCTCCCCCAGCACGTGGAAACCACAGCCCAAAGCAGCCCTTTCCACGAGCCGGGTGAGCCCCCGTTTGGAGGGGCAAGGCTGGCTCGCACAGGCCGAGGGCGATCCCGGTCAGAGACGACCGCCCGCGCTCCCTTGTTGGTCCAGACTCCCTCACCGCAGCTGGGTGTCACGGGCAGTCCCCTGGGAACCCCTAAAACACGGTATAAAGGAGAAGTACCTTTCTTTACATAATTTCTATAGTGCCCAGCCCCACTTTTTCCTCACCCACCTCCACTTCCCACTAAGGACGAACCCCAGACTAAGGCCGCAGACAGATCAAGCAGACTTCCTCTGGATAGATGCGTTTTTCCTTCCCCTGTCCGGGCTGAGACTTGCAGCACGCCAGAGCCTCCAGGAGGGAGGCTCCTGCATTGTCCGGGCATTGACACAAAGCCTGCTGCCTGGCTTGCAGAACTATCCTTTTTCAAGCTTACCCTGGTTTCTTATCATTTATTTAAGACGATGATAAGATTCATCTGCTTAGCTCTAAAGACCTTTCCTCATTTTGTCTTACTCCTCTGAGCAAAGCTAGGGGCTCTCGTGCCACCTTTTCAAACCCGACTGACTCTGCCGCCGTTCTTCTGCCTCTCCCTTTGGCCTGGGACACCCTCCCTGCCATATGATTTTTGCAAAAGTTTTTCCCAGCCCTCTTTTTCTGATATTTTTAGAAAGTAACTTCTTTTGGTTTCCCTGCCTGGGACTGACTGCATTTTGCCACAGCTGAACTCTTCCCTCTTCTTCTTTCCCTGCTTCTGGGGCTTCCTGCTCCAGGAAAAAATAGCTTTGGTCAGACAAGGGTGGGTAAGTGGTCAGCTTCCAAGTGAAAAAGCAAAGTGGAACCAAGGGGCATCACTCACAATCTTGCTGACTGGCTGTGGATACAAAACACTAACAGGGTCACTTTTAACATGTCCCAAATTGGATTACCTTAAAAACTGTGAGCCACAAGAGCGTAATGTCAACAACTCATTGTAAACTAGGTGAATGCTGACTTTTTTAGCTTTAGAAAAAAAAAAAAAAAGCCCCACGTATATTTTCTTCTGGAAAACCCTTATTTCTCGTTTGCGTTCTCTCCACAGCTTCACAGGCTTCAAATCAGTCTCGGTAAAGTCAGCAGGCGTTACGCGTTATCTCAGGAGGGGAGCGCAGCTCTGCGGTGGGACGCTCCCGCGGGCCCCGGCGGGCCCGGCAGCAGCAGGCAGGGCACC